CCCCCGGAAGGACGCACGGCCTCGCGTGCCCCCGAGTCCCTCAGGACCGCCAGTCCCCCCAAAAGGGCCGCGCCACTCCGTGCCTCCCGGGGTCCCCGCGGCTGGACCTCGGCCTTCGGGGACCCCCGCACCGCAGGACGTTCGCTCACCATGTCGCGTGCCGGGCGCAGAGCGGGGACCCACGGCTGGGAGGGGCAGTGCGGGAATCCGGCCAATCAGAGCCCAAGGTTGTTCTGACGAGCAGCCCGGACGACCAACCAGCGGGCCTGGAGCCGGCAAATCACGAGGACCGAGTGTCCCTCGCATGGCATGCCGGAAGTTGTAGTTCCGACATGCTGGTTCGGAGCTGGGTGTCAGAACTCTCTGGGAGGCCGGTGTGGCCCACCTTTCCCGCGCTCTGTCTCCTCACCTGCACCCATCTTGCAGGTTTCCAGCGAAAACATTCATTCATCCATCCACACACTGTCTCCTGAGGGACAGTTCTGAAAGTGGAGCTTCCCTCATCAAGAACATTCGATGACTCCCACTGACTAGATTCCTAGGTGCTCAGACCGAATTCAGATTCCTCTGTGTGACTTAAATCGGCTTCCCGCTCTATTGTGCATACCATAGTGCAGCTTTCCACCAACCGTGCTATCTCATACCTCCAGGCCTTTGTAAATATCCTGTCTTGGAATGCCTCCAAGAATGCCTCAGTTTACTCCCCCTGGCGTCATCATTTATCTGCATTAGCCAGGACTCTGGTTGCCCCAAATCCCAACACAAATGGGCTCAAGCAAAAAAGGGACGTCTGGGACTCATATGGCAGAAAACACTAGACATAAGCAGCTTCAGGCATGGCTTGGCCAAGGGCCAAATGTTAGCCTCAGTAAATGATATTCGTTGTCTCACCGCTTGGAGGAAAGGCCTTCTGGCGGGTGTGCCTGAGTCTTGGCATCCGCGTGCATTTCCAGTGATGAGTGTGTCTGTCTGAGCGTGGACATGTGTTGGGTATGTCGGTGTGTCCGAGGGTTTTTATGGGGGGAGTGCTTGTGAGTGTGGGCTGTGCGGTTGGTTGCCTTGTCTTTGTGGGTGCTTTTTTCTTTTTCAAGAAGTTTACTATGGGGTCAGGCACAGTGGCTCACGCCTACAATCCCAGCACTTTGGGAGGCCGAGGTGAGAGGATTGCCTGAGTCCACAGGTTCAAGACCAGCCTTGGCAATTTGGCAAGATCTCATCTCTACAATAAATTAAAAAATTAGCTGGTTGTGGTAGCGTGCACCTGTAGTTCTAGCTACTTGGAAGGCTGAGGTGGAAGGATCGCCTCAGCCCAGCAGGTGGAGGCTGCGGTGGCCAGGAGCATACCACTTCCCTCCAGCTGGCGTGACAGAGTGAGACTCCAACTCAAAAAAAAAAAAAAAGTTTATTATGTGCCAGGCACAATGGCTCATGCCTGTCATCCCAGCTCAGAGGATTGCCTGAGCCCAGGGGTTCGAGACCAGCCTTGGCAACTCAGCGAGACCACGTCTCTACAATAAATCAAAAAAATTAGCCAGGCGTGGTGGCACATGCCTGTGGTTCCAGTTACTTGGAAGGCTGAGGCAGGAGGATCACCTGAACCCAGCAGGTCGAGGCTGCGGCGGCCGTGAACACGCCCCTGCACTCCAGTCTGGGCCACAGTGAGACTCCAACTCAAAAAAAAAGTTTATTATTCTTGGTGACTGACCTGATTGCTTGGGCCTATGTATATCATGCTCTCTTTGAAGAAGATGCTCCCCAGGCCTTCTGGGTGAGTGCTCCCTGCTAGTCAGAGGTGCAAGCGGATGAGACCCCAGACATGTTTTCATGTGGAGGTCTCCAGCTCAGGGAAGGCGTGGAGGGGAATAATTCTGGTTCTTGTGCAATAAAGGTTGACTTTGACTCTCAAATAAACTCAATTATTATTCTTTTTGGTTTGTTTTTTTTTAAAGATGGGGTCTCACTCTGTCACCAAGGCTGGAGTACAGAGGTACAATTATAGCTCACTGCAGCCTCAAACTCCTGGGCTGAAACAGTCCTCCCAACTCAGCCTCCCAAGTAGCTGGGACTACAGGCGCCACCACACTAGGTAATTAAAAAAAAATTTTTTTTTGAGTTGGAGTCTCACTCCATCGCCCAGGCTGGAGTACAGTGGCACAATCACGGCCACCCCAGCGTCGACCTGCAGGGCACCGGCGATCCTTCTGCCTCAGCCTCCCAAGTAGCTGGAACTATAGGCATACGATATCACACACAGCTAATTTTTTGATTTATTGTAGAGATGAGATCTCGTCAAGTTGCCCAGGCGGGTCTCGAAACTGTGGGCTCAGGAAATTCTCTCACCTTGGCTACTGCCCAGCTTTTTTTTTTTTTAAGTAGAGACAGGGTCTTGCTATGTGGCCTAAACTGACCTCAAACGCCTGCCCTCAAGTGATCTTCTGCTTCGACTCCCAAAGCACTGGGATGACAGGTGTGAGCCACCGGGCCTGGCCCCTGTTTGTCCTTATGAGCACTGTGGATGTCCATTTGCAAGGGAGTCACCCTTTGTGACTTTTGTCCTCTGGACTCAGTGTCCCCTTGAGAAAATGTGGGTGACAGTGGGGGGGTCACGAGGGTTTCTTGGGACCCACACGGGGGCCACAAGTTGCCCCTCAGGGCCAGAATACCTCGGTGGATCCAAGAAACTGGGATTTGGGGAGAGCGTCCTGGAAGGGGCAAGGGGGCCAGGCAAGGAAGGCCAAGGAAAAGAAGGGCAAGGGGCCTTGGTGGCCCTGCCCTGTGGGCCAGGCTTGAGGGCATGCCTGGGTGGCAGAACAGTCGCCCCCATACCGTCGAGGAGGACTCTGGGGCCCCAAGCTCAGGTGTTCAGCGACCCCACGCAGTGTCCACGGGAAACTCCACAGGGCAGCCAGGGTCTCCTGTCTGCCTGCCCCTTCCCCACCTCCCCAGGGTGGCAAAGGCCCCACCCTCCAGGGGTTCAGGGTTGCAGCCGGCCTGGACTGCTCTCCATCCCGCACCGACTGGGACTGATGCCTCCACCTTCCCAGGGCGACCGCCGTCCACCCTGCCCCAGCCCCTGCCTGGCCTCCACCCCAGTCAGCCTCCAGCACTGCTTCCTGCAGTCACCTCTTCCCTGGTCTCTGGCTCTGTCCCTGGAAGACATGACATGGGTTTAACATACCCAATGAGCAGTCTTTTTTTTTTTTTTTTTTT